ACGCCTGGCAGAGTGGCAAGTATTCCATCACCCTGTACGCCTGGCAGAGTGGCAAGTATTCCATCACCCTGTGCAATGGGAGAGCTTGGGGGTGCTGCACCCGACGTGAACAACAGGATCACTGTGAGGTCCAGCAGCTTAGCGAGCGCTGATGAATATCTCGTTTTTATCATAATGAAGTTGTGTGCCAATAACGTAGGCACAGATTTCAGCTCAAGTCTGCGGTGAGAGGGCTGAAAGTTCAGTTTGAGTGGAATCACAGGAAACAGAACTTAATTGTGGTGACAGCTGTAGCGCACAGGGGTTGCCGAGAACACAACATCTCACGGAGATAATAGAGCACATCGTCTTATCTGCAGCACACTCCAACAAGCACGCTCACGTTGTTTCTCACTCCGCCAAAGTTCTTACACATTATAAACAGTCGAATAAGTGCCTAAATGATAAAATAACTTCAGAGTAATACTGTACGTGCACGGTTCGTTTAAAGCAGATTAGCCAGACGTGTCGAGCCTCCTTCCAATCTGACATAGTTTAACTCTCCAGCCTGACACTCGCCAGTTGGAGAAGATAAACAATGTTGAGTAAGATAAAAGTGATTTCCAGCATATAATTTTGCCTGACAATCTCGTCTGGCTAGCGTAACTTTGTTTTTTTTAATAGTTGACACTTCAAAGTGTTCTTTGTGTCTGAGCTGTGACTGTGCGAGCGAGGAGAGGAGGGAAAAGGCGGCGCACTGCCACTCCTCGGAGACATGTCTGGGAGTGTGTGTGCACTAGATGTTGTTGGAGAGGAAGGTTAACCCGACTAAACTCCAAATCAGAAGCTTTGAGTGACGATACACCCTTTTTAGGTGGCTTCATCTGCCTCTGCTCTCCTGAAACAATCGATCTATAAACCTTAAAGTGCAAAAATAAACTGGACTGCCGCAATCAAAGGCCTGATAACAGCACAGTAACATACTGTAGGTCCAGATTGCAGCTCCAGCCTGCAGACAAACACATCAGACTTAGGACGTATTTGTTTAGCCTTCAGACGGTGCAATAAGCAGACGGTGTTGCAGCAGGCACAAGCAGCACATTGTGTACCTTGACGGTTTTGGCAGCGATAATGTTGGACAGATTCTTCTTGGCCACCTGAGAACCTTTGCCTGTGGGCAGGAAGCTGGGTCCCTGTGAGGATTTGATAAGAAACAGAACTGTTATCAAAACTGAGCATCTACCCAAAAGTAGTAAATGACTGCAAAGGAAACGTCACGTCTGCAAGGAAACCATAGACGAGCACAACAAGCAGGATGTAACCAAAGGGCATGAAACCCCCACAAGATAAGAGCAGATTTATTCTGAACTGGCGTCAAATTAACGGTAAAGTCGGAGTTGCTTGTACATGTGTAGCTGTGGTTAATAAGCCCTGAGGTGGAGTGCTATTTATACTAATAATCACACATTATAAGCACCCCACCGCTCATCCACATGGCGGTCACACACCAAAAACCATCTCTGACACACTCAAGATCAGTGAATTTTGAATTCCTTATGCTGGCGTCAGTGTGTGAAGTTAAGAAACATCATATCACAAGTTCGCTTTGATCTTTCATCTTCCTTCGAGATGTGGCGACTGTTTCCTACTGTAACATAAATCCAGCGTTCAGCCATAACATCTGATTTAAATAATCATCATTCCTGTAACTTGGTCTTCACAGGAAATAATCTTAAACGTTCTGTCAGGATCAAACTCTGCTCCGCGCCGTACCTGGAGGGCCATTGTGTGGTCACACAGGAAGCTCTGATATTTCAGGGGGATGTGGACGGTCTCTTTGGGCCGGAGGTAAACCCTGGGACCCGGGGCGCCCTCCTCCAAGTGGAACATGTTCTCCTCCAGCGGGGTCGGGCTTCTGGTTAGCGCTTTGAAGTAACGCCACTCCTCGGTGTTAGCGATGACACTGGACCACAAGATTAAAGGACACAAATGAGATGAAAGCAGCGCTTTCATATTTTCAGGTGGTTCATCCAGGATCAGAGTTGGACCTATTACACAATCAGAAATAACAGCGTGTTTATTATGGGATGCTGAACACAAGCATGTTTCTGCTACAGTCTGGCTAAAGATGTCCAGGGTGGAGGTACAGAGGAGATTCAGAAGTGTCTCCACTGAGGAGCATGCTGAGGGTTCTGGTCCATGAAGGTTCAGCCTCTGGAGACGCCGACTGTCCACAGAAACCAGTGCACACATGTTCTCTGTAACTGTTCAGAAGTTTCCCAAAGCTGTGGACAGAAGAACAAACAGCATCACTGGCCTTAAAACACAAACAGAACGCTGATTCTCTGAGGTGTTTACTGCTCCTCATGTACTGTTTGTTCTTCAGATGCTATCCTGCTATCCCCACCAACTGCCCCCACACCCACCCTCACACCCACCCTCACACCCACCCTCACATCCAGCCTCTTGTCCAGCCTCTTGTCCAGCCTCCCGTCCAGCCTCCCGTCCAGCCTCCCGTCCAGCCTCCCGTCCAGCCCGCCCTCCTGGGTAGGCCAGCCTGGTGTTTTTAGGTTTTGGAGGGTTTTTTTGTCCCTTCTGGTAAACAGGATTTCTTTTCTTTGCCAAGTCTTTGCTCCAAAGGACTCCAAAGGAAACTTTGGTGTTGCTGCGTGAAGACGTTTTGTCAGATCTTCACTGTGCTACGTGAAGAGTGTTGACGTGTTGCAAACTGAGAAAATCTGAATAGATATATATTAAATTTCTATTCTAACAGTAGGATTCTCATGGCTGGAAATGACATTTAAAAGTGACAAATTACAGAAAGACATCATGTTTGAGATGTTAAAGATAACTATTTCTGTTTTTCTGTTTCTTTTTCCACATTTGTATGAGTAATGCCACGTCTTAAACTACTTGTTCCCTTTGACATTAACAAAGCTGTTTGGTCAACTGGTTCTAAACCACGTCTGACTGTTGGGATGGTGATGGTGTTCTTACAGTGTCTGTACGGCATCTCAGTTGTTCTCCAAACAAATGAAGCCCCCCCGTGTCCAAACTCTTTATGTTCCTCTCATCCAACCACAGAATTTACGACCAGAAGCTTATTTTTTGTGTCAGTGAGCTTTTCCAGCTTTGGTGTGATGTGGAACACTGAGGTCCTCCTCTGTTGGTGTCCATGGAGACCAGGCTTGTTCAGTGTCTGTGTTTTGTTACCAGAGCTGTTCAGATTCATCAAGAAGGCTTTGTAGGTAATTCTTGGATATTACTTGACCTCTGTCCAGTGGAGGGGTGACTCTACCAGGACTTCTGAGACCCTTTAACACACGGTGGAACTCCTCGCACTTTTTGAGGATGCTTTGCACTGCGGCCACTTGAATATGGCTTTAAAGTCTTTCCTGTCTTGTTAGTAGCCACAATGCTCTGCTCTCCCAGTGATGGACAGTGATCAGCTCTTTGGTCTGAACCATGACTTGTAATGACTAGGAGCTGACTCATCACGTCGCCCTAGAACCTGGTAAAAACTGACCAAGACCACTTGGATCGGTACAGAAACTCTCCAAAGACTGTGACACTATCAGAAAGTTATGAATCATTTCGGAGACGGTATTTTGAGTAAAAATGGAAAATAAGAGATAAACATTGAAAATTCATCATCAACACTCCACGTCTTATCGACGTTTGTACCTTGTTTATATCATTTCTATCCAGAGAGCAGCTATTGATCAGATAAAAGTCCAGCTCAGCACCAGCATGTGGCCTGGCTGTGGACGTTTTTGGGCTTAAACGTTGGTATAATGCTCTTAGCTTGTTCCTGTAATGTACTGATGATACCAGTTACAACACCCGATCCAGCCCCATCTTCCTAAAGCTAATAAGTCACCATCCCAGCTAACTGGACTGATAGGATGTGAGCTGGTTCTGTGCATGTAAGCAGGAGGAAAAGCACTAAATAAGCTATAAATATAAATAATGACATAGAAGGAGGTTTGTCTTCCCATCGAATGCTTGGAAACAAACCAAATGAGCTCATTTCATAAACTACTGACCCATATATATATATGAGGCTAACACTTTAATAAAGTTTTATTGTTATAAATTTTATTGGAGGAAATCTTATATGTTTCATTGGTGTCCAAGGAATACAGGAAAAAAACACATTCCCTCAGCTCCAAAGTGAAAAAAAGAAAAAGCTCATCCTGACCTCGTATTCTTTACAAATATGGCTGAGAATCGAGGTGAAGTAAATTCTACAGTCACGCCTCTCACACGCACTGTTTTGCTTTTAATTACCGGCAGCAGTGTGAAAAAGGTGTATAGAGGTCAGCGACGGTCCCACCCGGCCCACGACAAATGGATTTCCAGGCAGAAGAGAACAGGAACAGATAACACATTCCAAGAGAGGGAGGTCTCGTCTCAACTCCTTCCTCTTCCTTTGAATACAAAAATTTCACGCACAAATGCATAAAGGGGGAGTGCTGCTTTAAACTTCAAAGGTTCCCAGCCACGGGCACGGAGAGGGAAATTTCTCTCAATAGGAGAGCGAGAGTTTATGAATTTTTCAGGGCCCCACCTCACCAACATTAGGAAAAGTTGCACCAGTCAATTCCATGAAATTTATTTGGAGATTCCCACCTGTGCACTTGGAATAAAACATTTCGCCTGTGGCTTGTGATAACAACAAAGAGTGTTTGTGTATTTGTGTTTCACCGGAGCCTTCATGAAAAACCTCGGCTTGATTCATTTTTAAAGAGAGAAAATAGAACAAGGTAGGAGGTGAGGGGGACAAACAGATTGAAACAAAAATATTGAAAAGAGAAGGAAGAAAATAAAGACGATGATAAAAAGGATAGCGAGAGGGAGAAGCAGATGAATGCAGCGCTGAGAGGAAGACGGATAATAAGACAGAGAAATAATGAGAGAGGAAGCGTGGAGCAGAGCAGCTCCACTGTTCTCTGCCTCATCCAGCAGCTCACACTGGGCTCTGTGAGCAAAGAGTAGAAAGCAGTCATGCAAAATGGATGGCAACAGGTAGCAAACGTGTCGTCCACGTCAAGAGCAGCCTCTGGGCTGGAAAGCGGGGCAGACATCAAAGCTGCATGCAGCCCAGCCTTCCACTAAGTACTCTCAGTTCAAAGTCTGATGCTGGATTTCCGGTTGAGGGTCAGACTTCTTTCTTGCTTGTTTCTGTAGAACAAAGAGCTGACCCAAGGCCAGGTTCATGTTCCTCCAAAAGTACATCTTGTCAAATATTGGCTGAAATATTGGCTGAAATACAGACTAACCTCAGTGCACTGGCCAAGCTGCAGTTGGTTTAGGCCAGGCTAATAAAGTTATTGTTGTTATCGTGCCTGTTCAGCCCCTCAGAGCTTTGGCAGATACTTTAAAACATATTGCATCACTTCAATAAACAATTTCAGCACATCAATCTGTCAGATGTGACATACACTACATGGATCATGAAGGTGGCTGAGAACCAGCAGGTGGATGCAGAGATGTTTCTGAACCTTCCACCAAACTGTAGCTTCTTTTTCCAGGAAACAACCCTCTGAATCCACATTAGTCCAGGTTTGTTGTCTTTCATTCATATTTGTGTTCCATATTCTGAATGCATGGTGGTTCAGTGGTTAGCATCGTCGCCTCACAGCTAGAAGGTCGCCGGTTGGCGTCCCGGTGAGGACACCCGGGATCTTCCTGCGTGGAGTCTCCATGTTCTCCCCGTGCAGCGTGGGTTCTCTCCGGGTTCTCCGGCTTCCTCCCACAGTCCAGAAACATGCTGAGGTTAATTGGTGATTGTAAATTGTCCGTAGGTGTGAATGTGAGTGTGCTTGGTTGTCTGTCTCTAAGTGTAGCCCTGTGATAGACTGGTTACCTGTCCAGGTGAACCTGCCTTCACCCTGAGTCAGCTGGGATAGACTCCAGCGACCCTAGTGAGGTGTATAGATGATAGATGGGTGGATGTTCTGAGACTCCTGTCTCTCCAGACCGGCCCCTGCTGCCACCACAGCCACATACATCACAACAGCACACGTAGCCATACTGCTGATCCGTCACCACGGTGTCATAAAACATAAACGAGCTCTTGGCAGGGCTGCACTTAGCGAACTCTGCATCCGACTCATGAGTGCCGCAGCAGGAGCACATCAAATGCAGAAGCTTCCTTGTTAATTTACACATTTCAGGCTCTCGGTAGAGGTGACAGACGGTCGGTGTAAAGTGTCACACTGCCTCATCGAGAGATAAATAAACTAACAGCGTGCTAAGCCGGCGAGAGGACAGATGCAGGGATTGATGACTCTCAATTAGACCTGGTAGGCCCGGTGGCCAGGCTAATGCCATAATGATTCATCCACGGCGCGCTGCAGCCTTTGTTGATCAATGTGATATATGTTAATCCAAAGCTCAGGCATGAGCAGAATCCTTAACAAAAGACTCAGAGTGTGGGGATTAACAATGATGCTCAGGAAACACGGCACAGATACCAAAAACGGGTTACCCAGGGAACGCCAGCCATAATGGCTCCTACGTTTGGATTAAGGGGATATTTAGCATCTCTCCAACATTATGTCTGCATCTGTGCCAAGGACAAGTGATTGTGCCATTGAAGGAGTGAGAGTCTTCTTTGTTGGTGAGCGACAGAGTGAAGGGCTGAAACGTAAGGCGAGGTGGTGGCTGGCACTCCAGAAAATAAGTTCTGAGACTGTTTTATTTATTCACACAAGTTGATAATGTTTGTACTGAAAACAAATAACCGGGCTCAAAAATGTGAACAAATTAAAAGTCCCCTGTTGTGCCCCTATTTCAGCAAACTAATGAACGTCTCACACGTACCCAGCGTGTGTCCTTCAGTTTATTCTGAGCTCCAAACACTCATTTCACCACGACTGTATCATAAACATGTGATGTTGATGAGCTGCTTCACACCCACTCATCCTGCTAACACTAAGGATTACGGTGACGATCAGACATAAAGCACTGGGCCTTCAGTCGCTTGGACACCAGGAATGTATGAAGACTCTTGTGTTCACTCTTTAGAAAGCATTCGCCATGTTCACCAAGAAACAGCCGTACCGACCCAGCTAGGCCCGTCTCTGATGTTTGGACTCTCCAGGCTGCCGTAGTTTTCATGTCATGTCTTTTTTTTTGTGCTTTGCGCTCATATCTGAGATGAAGAAGCTCTCCAATGCACACAAACCTGGTGGACGGAGAGGCAGCTGCTCGTTGTGGATGGCTCTGGGTGGCAGCGTTTTAAGTTTTTAAGACATAAATTAAAACAGATTTTTGCCTGTGAAACGTGTTTGGTATGCAAACAAAACCAACAGCACCAAAACAGTTTGTCCAACCGACAGACTGGAGAGCAGCTTCTACCCCAGAGGCACCAGAGAGGTGAACTCTGCCAGACACTCACACCGACTGTCTGGACCAGAACTACTGGCAACTTAACCTCGTCTGTAATTTTTGCACGACTTAAGCCAGAAGTATGGTGGCCCAGAAGTGTCACAACAAAACAAAAGCCACAACACAACACAATTAGCCGCAACACAAGACAAAGGCTGCAACGGAAACTGTTTGGTTGTTTTTACCTGGAAGTTCTACTGTGAAGTGCGCAATGCCACAGGAAGTGAGCAGAAGCTGGAGATTGTTGGAAACATCTCGAGAAGTCAGTAAAATACTGATAGTAAATATTGTTTAATAATGTCAGTATGCGCTATTACAGCGGTTGTTAACTTTGAATTATAAATAAAGAGTCATTGCATGTTTGACTTGTTCATGTGGACGCTGCAGCCCGTTTTTGATTCATAGACACTATTACTATCAGTATTTTACTGACTTCTCGAGTTGTTTCCAACAATCTCCAGCTTCTGCCCACTTCGTGTGGTTGCCCACGTCACAGCATAACTTCCGGGTAAAAAAAACCCAACTTCCTTTGCAGCCGTTGTGTTGTGTTACGGCTAGTTTTGTAGTGTTGTGGTTAATTTTGTTCTGCTGTGACACTTCTGGGCCACCGTATATAAGCAATATCCAGAAGTGGAACACTACTGTTTTTATCAATGAGTGACTTTTAAAAGAATCCCAAAGTTGAAGCTCTTGCACAAACTATTTGTTTTCTAGTGGATGTTATATTTTTACATTTGCACGTTTCTTATACGTCTGATTGTGTGAACGCATCGACTGGATTCCTGCTTAAGTGCAGTGACAGTAGAATAATGCTCTTCTACTTTGTTCTACTCTGTAATCAGGTGTGATCTTAGCTTTACCCGTCGCTGACACTTTTACCATTTGGCTGACGTATTCCCTGTTCCCACGCCAACATGTCACCGTGAGAACAGCACAGGTGTTAGTAGAACAGTTCTCGCTTATGCTTGGTCACGCCAACCTGTTTCACTGTGACACTTAATTAGCTAAACTTGTGCTTTTTAAAGTACAAGTCTAAACGTTCTGACAAAAGGCAGGTTTTCACACGGCTAACATTCGGCTACAACCTGGAAAATGTCGCGTCACAGCCGTATAAAGAGACTCCAGCGGTGACAGACGTGGTAACAGATCAGCACCAACTACATACCAGGAGCCGTGCATAAAGATGCTTCACACAGCCAGAGGGAGGCTATTTTTTCTTATTATTAACTCTTGTTTCTGATGGATCATACCCAGAATAATAATAGTTCCTTTAATACCGTCTACTACGTCGCCCGGCCTTTGTCTTCACAGGGTACTACAGGCCACACGATGCAAAGAAACGGCGGCGAATCGGTCGTAACTGTCACTTCACAGACGTGGTGGTGGTTCTGGGTTGGATGCACAAAATCCTCAAATAGATTTTAAAGAACTGTCTCCGGAGCTTTACCGTCACCTTTGGAAACACCTTCAGAACGTGTGAACGCAGCTTCACAGCGGAGCGCGACTTGTTACGTTCTGATAATGGAAAACACGTACGACAGAGAAACAGACGCTCGCGGTTGGTGTGTCAGACTGAGGACGCACCGATAAACTCGTATAATCCAGAGTATTTGAAAGATGATCTTCGACTCATCAGATCAAATCTTTGTCGTAGTAAATGCACTGTTGCCCATAAAGCTGGAATAACTTTTGTTTTCAGACACATTCCTCTTCTTATTTCTATTTCTACACATCAGTCATCACTCTGACCAGGTCCAGTGATCACAGACTGAGTCCCAGGTACCAGGTGGAACCAGTTCTGACTTCAGGATGTGACTGCAGACTGGGACGTCCTGCCCAGTGACACCATCAACCAGCTGGTGGACAGAACACCACCACTGCTCCATGTCAGGGGGCCAGACTCAGTATTAGTGACATTAAAAGAGTAATATTGGACATTCTGATGCATTAAATCCCCTCGAATGTGTGTTTCCTGTTAAAGGGACCAAGGTTGAAACACAAACCCTCTAATCCTGTTGTTCCATATCCCCGGTCTAGTTAAAGCCTGAAACCCGACTGTCCACTACCTGTCTGCAGAGCTTACCTGAGTTCTGGGTCATCGCTGTGAACGGTGACCGTCTGAGGAACATTGAAGGGGTTTCTAAGGACAAACTCCATGTACTCAGCGGAGCCCAGGCTGGCGTAGAGCCGGTGCTGGGTGGTGATGGCCCGGCTCAGCATGTTGGCGATGCCCTCCGCCTTGCTCTGCTCCTCCCTGGGTCTGGATTGATGAAGTTCTCTGGACGTTTCCTTCGTCCAATCCTACCAGCCGGGAACAATGGCAAACGTTTCAGTGCGGCGCCAGACTGTGCAGGGTAAACATCAGTGTCACAGCTTATCCAGCAATTTCCTGTTTGGTTCTGACCCACTGTACTCGCTGTATTTTGTGCTCACACAGTTTTCTTATAAAATGAAAGATAAGAATCAAAACTTCTGCTGCTTTCATTCACTTTCAGTGTTTTTTTCCCAAACAACGTGCCTTAGATGATACTGACAAACCTTCAGCAAGTTTAAAGCTGCATTTAAAGCTGTAGATGTTAATTTACAGATAATTATTACCAACGTTGTATTTCTCTATAACTCAACACAGCATTTTGCATCTTTCGGCTCATTATTTGGATTTTTGATTTCAGCCCAGCAGGCAGCTGTTTGGAGCACAAATGTCTTGTTAACCTTCTGATCCGCGGCTGGATGTGGACGGCGTGTTGAAGCCTTTTATCAGAACCAGAATCTGAAAACATAGAAATAAATCACCAGACTGTTTAACTTTCCTCAAACTATTCATGTGTGACTTCTGGTTCTGTTGTTAGCAACTCAGCCGCGACAAACAGTGAAGTGACGAAATCTCAGGAACTTCTCGGCTGAACTGGGCTGAACTGGGCTGAACTGGGCTGAACTGGGCTAAACTGGGCTGAACTGGGCTGAACTGCAGGCTGTGTTTACACCGAGCATGTAGGACAACAGCATGAAAACACATGAACAGCAAATGGAGCTAAATATCCTAAAAAATGTTCAAAACCCGTGGGTTCTTGAAATCATGTCGTACATGTTGATTTTAGGTTTTTCCATTTATTTTGTAAAATAATGAATCACAGAGCAGCTGTTTTATTTATAATTTATGGGAGTTTAACTTAAGAAAACTGACTTTTTTCTTCTTCTAGCCATGGATGTACCGGTTCTGTAGCGGTGCAGGTGTTTATATCGCAGTGAAACATGAACCCACAGTGAGCAAAAATGTGAGAAAAAGATGAGAGTAGAGATGTGAAGCAGTTTGAATGAATGCTTTGCGAGGAGGCGAGTTTCATTTCACAGCGCTTCCCTTTCAACAACCTGTTGGAAACCTTGGACAGAGACTTTTTCTCAGCCAGATTCTACAGATCCAAGTTTTCCACTGACTGAGAACAGCTATTTGTGACATGATCCAATATGATTTGCAATGTTTTCTCCGTCTTTTACATTAAAATGGGGAAACCAAGTTCCAAGGCAGATGGAAAAAGGTGGAAGCGTTTCTATTTCACTGGGATTATAAATCTAACTATGTCGTGCAACTAAACGTGGATCATGTTGTGGGATCGTCTGCTGGACTTAAATCCTTTAAATGGTACAACAAACCACCTGAGTTAGTGAGAAAACATATTACTGAGATTTTCAGCAGGTCTCGCTCCCTGAGATGATGCCGGGCTTAACCCCAGTCCAAATGAACTTATCATTACCAGACCAGAAAACTCAGATCTGAGCTGAACTGCAGAGCAACTATAAAGATCAGTAATAGTTCAGACAGCATTGGCTGTTACAGAGGTGTGAAACACCTAAAAGCCAGGTCTTATCAGAGGAAGTGTAAGGTGTAAAATGTCTAAGAGGGACATGCACCACAGAGGAAATCACATTTAGCATGTGCACCCATGGGTGAAAGTACAAGATGTGGCTTTGAGAAGGAAAGTAATTAATACGTTCTGGTACAGTCACAGAGGCGCAGGACTGAAGGGCGCGCTGCCACGAGAATCTTAACACCAGCAGGGTGTCTAGGAGACGCTCCACACCCTCACGACATGCTCCTGTTGTCAGTCTGAGAGTTCACTGAAGATCATCTACAGCAGGGGTGCTCAATCCTGGTCCTCGAGAGCCCCTGTCCAGCATGTTGTAGATGTGTCCCTCTTCCAACACACCTGATTCAAATGATCAGCTCATCATCAAGCTCTGCAGAAGCTTGATAACCATCCTGATCCTGTGAATTAGGTGTGTTGGAAGAAGGAAACATCTACAACATGCTGGATAGGGGATCTCGAGGACCAGGATTGGGCACCCCTGGTCTATAGGAACAGACCATCGTGGCTCAGCTTTAGACAAAAGCAGCTATCTTTGGCTGACCTGAACAGTTTGACCTCACCGTGACCTTGGCTGTTCTAGCGTCTTCCTTGCCCTCCCGCTGATGCACGGCGGCCATGCAGCTGAGCTTTCGGCGCCCACTGTCGGGCTCTCCAGGCGCGATGGCGTCGGCTCTGATCCCGCGTCTGAACGAGGGAAGCCGATCCCCGTCCGTCTCCAGCCGGTGCGCTTGTGCAGCGTTTCTCGCTGTGAAACAGAAACATGCGGCAGCCATGAATATATTTACTGAGCAGAGTGGAATCTAATCTCTTTGCCATTTTGACCATATGTTCTAAAAACTCTCCAAATGTCCAAGAGAGAGAGAGAGAGAGCGGCGCCGACAAATTAAAGTATTGTTGGAGCACAACAAACAACAGCTTGTTCCCAGACAACAGTCCAGTCAAACAACTGGCACCACGACAACTGGGCCAGAGACAGAACCCTCCTCTTCCTCCAAACCATCTTTCACCTCCACGGCCATGTGCACTCTGAGCACCAGATACTACCATATCCAGTCCATCTACCAGCCACCATTCATCCCTGGAGACACAATCATGTTCTTTAACAGTGTTACAAGAGAATTTGCCAAATCCTGCACTTTGATATGAGCAAACTTAAAACTGCCCAAACTGTATTTTTGTTATCTGGAAGCAGCTCTGCCCCCGTATCAGCAGCCATGTGATGGAGGACGTGTTGCAGCAACGGGAAGATAAACCCGGATCGGCTGAGAGCGGCAACAGATCTTCAACAAAAATGAGCAGAACGGCGTCGAGAAAAACTAAAGAGGCACATCAGTGAAATGTGGACGAATTAAAAGAGGAGATGAAGACAAAAGAGAGACAGGAGGCTTATGGAAAGCAGCCTTTTATTTAAGCTCTTCAGGAACATTACCTACTGTATTTGCTAGACATTAGACTTTTACTAATCCCTCGTGTGTTCGCCCTGGAAATTTCTTTTGTGCTGTAACCCAGTTCTGCTTTGTTCTGTACCGCTAACGACAAGGCTGCCCACAAAGATGGAATAAAATATAATTTTTAATGACATGATGGTGACAGTGTGGCTTGTTCTTGATAGATAAAGTTTATATCTTCTTAAAACTTTATTGATATTATAATAAACACATCACAGTACAAATTAAACTGGTGATGGTGTTGTCTTCCTCTGTAACGTTTTTCTGAGATCTGGCCCACTGAGCTCTGCGGTGTGGGAATTAAAGCTGAGGTAAGCCATTATTTGGTGTCACTTTGTCACGTCCATTTTCCCACACTGTCAAAATCCCTTTATTCTCAATCTTGGCATCACCACTCCTGTCCAATCATCCATCAGCCGGTGCTCTCTGAGCCAATAAGGCCTTGGACCTCGTTCTTTAAATGCACTGAAATGCTGTATCTGTCCCTTCCAGGACATTGATCGTGCATCCCTCATCCTTCCCATCTCCGCCTCATACGAGTTGTCTTTATGGCGATCTCCATGACAAATCTGCCACCGTCGCTTCACCACCACCAGCGTCTGGACTCCTGTTTCATCTGGGACTCCACTGGATGATGTCTTTGGAGTGAAACCACTAAAATACTTTTGTTTAGCATGTTTCTGTAATAAATGTAGTTCTTCACTTCCATCTGTATTGAATTGTAATTAAAGTTGTCTGAGAGAAAACTCGACTTCTGCACCTCGGCTTTGGCTCATTACAGGTCTTTTTCAGAGGGAGGGCTCTCCTATTGGCTGTCTGACAAATGCAGGTGTGCAGGCAGGTAAAGTCTGATGGATGAAAATCCTGCATGAAGAGTTGCTTTTCTAACATTTGCAAAACGTGTTTGCATTCCAACGCCAGCCCAAAAGAGCAAAACAAACTTATCTAAAGAGGATAAATGCATAAAACACAGCAAAGCTTTCTGAAAGAATGTTAGGTAGCTACTCCATTCCAAGTCTGTGTGCTTCTCCTGGAGATGTAACCTGTTAACTTCCTGTAACATCTGAATGTGTTGCGGTGGTGGTTGGTCACAGAAGAAACCAACCGATGTGGAACGCTGCTACGACTTCCTGCTTCCTAAAGTCAGAGTCTCACGGCTGCAGCTGCGTCTCGATCAGTTTCCATCTTTATGTTCATGTTTATGGTGAAGCTTGTGTCGTGCATGAAGCGCATCCATAGGCCGTGCTCTGCTGGTGGGCGGGGCTTAGGACACAGTAAGGAGAAGCTGTAAAGGGGAAGAGCTGTGATTTCAGATTCAGCACCGTTAACCGGTAACGCTGAGGGGGAAGCGCATCAGGAAAAGTGCTGCTGTGGTCGTGTTATTAATGATCGGTCCAGTGTTTCTCTGTAAATGCAAATACAGGTGTGAGAGTGGAGCGGTGGCGGCGAGTGGCAGCTGAAAGACGATTGGCCCAGACTTGCCCTTAAAAAGGAGATCCAAGATGGCGCTCCCCAGAGGGATAGAGGGTTGCCACAGCATCAAACCGAACCGCGGCAGCCACGCAGAGTCCAGTTTCATTTCACCATCTCTCTCCTGTTTGCATCATGTTAGGAAGCTCAGACATTGTATTCTCAGACTGATAGATATTATTGTGTTTATTATTTTGGCCTGAAGTCTGTTAGACTCCTTTTGAGCTGTAAATAAATGCACCTTTTTGAAGCTTCATTCAGGTTGTGGCTCCTTCAGGTTTGGGGAGGTGGGGTTCATGTCATGTCTCGGCCACCTCCAGACGTCACACGACAACATAAAACCTATTTTTCATTGCGCTCTTTGTTGCTGAGGGAATTTATGCGGAGTAGATTTTAGGTCATGCAACAATGTGATCACTTACCCACAGGACTAAATTTCAACATTTTGTGCTACCACATTAAACTCTTTGATATTTGCTTTCCTTTCTGTTTTTTTTTTTCCCCTCTTCAAGTAAAACTCTTTATCCCTGGACATTTTCCCCAAGTCTCATTATCAAAGAGGCTCTGGATGGAGTGCCAGTCACAGAGACCAGATAACGTCTGGCTACGCCGCTTCCTCCAGAGCCACAGGCAGGCAGAAGTGGGACAGGAGCGCGACACGCAGCGTGCACGCTCACCACGGCGCAGCTGCTCGGATCGGCGCCGCTCACTGTTGTGACCGGACTCCAGTGAGAGCAATTAGGTGCATTGTGTGTTTAAATGGCACAGGAAGGTGGAGTGGAGAGAGAGGGGGAGTGGTGTGGAGGTTGAGGAGGGTCAGAGAGGTGAGGAACAGAGCAAACAGCGAACAGGTGAACCGGTCCAATAGCTAAACATGTTTTATACAGTGTGTACGGGTTTGCCTCCAAATGCACGGCTGTCTGTCGGCGTGCAGGCGTGTTAATGACATCACGCAACGATTTAAGTCTGTCACACCGACTTTATTAATCTAAGCAACTATCTGCTTGTTTTTTTTTCTTGTCTGTTTATCTGATACCACCTAATGCCTAACGTGTGTGTGTGTGTGTGTGTGTGTGTGTGAGAGTGTGTGTGTGTGTGTGTGTGTGTGTGTGTGTGTGTGTGTGTGTTTCACTCATAGTCCACGTTTGAGAATGAATTTAGGAATAGTACAGCAGTTGACTGGTGATGCCCTGTCTAATTAGGGAAAAAATTGGTTTCCCCAGTGTGTGTGTGTGTGTGTGTGTGAGTGTGTGTGTGTAGGTGTGTGTGTGTGTGCACGCCTTTAGATGGTGCACACACACACACACACACACACACACGCAACACAAACAGGACTGTGGCTAGCCACCAGAGATGCTTCTGCAAGCTCAATTAGGCTGAAAATTGAGTGGTTCAGTGGTGCAGCCAGCAGACCAAATGTGAAACGGATCTGGTTGAGCTGATCAAGGCGGCGGCATCGTCACCGCCCAAATGAAAGACCGTAATTACTCTGCGGTGCGGATTACTCGCACGTGTACGCTCGTGTGTTTAGACGTGCACGGAAAGGTGAGTGGAGGCTGCACAGGTAATCACAGTGAAGCTAATGAACATGTTGAAACCAGAACAGCGACAGCGTCCGGCGGGCTGTGGGCCGGAGCCGGTACCGTTGAGCTGGAGGATGCTTCTGGAGGACAGACTTCCTCCTCTGAAGCCACTGGTGACTTCTCGCGGCGTGATGATGTGAGAATGAGACGGCGTTACGTCTGCTGCCTTCCTCCTGCCGGGCTCCACGGGACACCCTGTGGACGACACACAAAGGCTTCAGTCTGATAGTTTCAATCTTCTCATAAAGTATTTACACAACAGCGTTAATAATTCATCTGCTCAAATTAACACGCCCGTTTATTCACTTTTAATAGGCTGCGGTCTCCACAAAAGGCTTGTACAGTCATTGTCAGAGCAGCTCTGTTGGTGCTGACCTGCTCCACCTACACCAGAGGAAAGGAACAGCTGGAAGTGTGCAATGGTCACACTAGCGCCACCTACTGGCAGCGAGTGCCACAGTGCCAGATGGACAGCACGAGAGTTATCGCTCTTCTTTATCTGAATTATTATATAAGTGATCTTTCAGTACTTTTTTCTCTCTTTTCTCATTTTTATCTGCTTTTTATTTCTCAGATCTTTTTTAGATAACCGCTATCAGTCTCAGGCAGCACTGTTAATTAGTCTGCTCCGTGATATTGGCAGGAAACTTACTTAAGAATGCACTGTGAGACTTTTACCTTCCCCTTCTGACAGCGAGAGTAATTACACAAACACTGTCGAGACACGTTCACGGCGCATCACATGTGCAGGACGAGCAATCTGCAGCAGGGCGCATTGGGTCAAACACGCCACGCAACAAGAGAAACTGGTATGGTTTGAATTTTTCATGACTAATCTACAAGAGAAAACAGAATTTGTTGACATACAGGCTCCACATGTGCACAGCTAAATGAGTGGAGGATAGGAAGGAAAGGACGATTTGGTTGCCAATTAATTGTTTGGAGAGACGACAGCTCCAACAGGTCCTCTGTCTGCGGTTGTTGCCACTGCATGACGTAAAACAACATATTTGTTTGACCATATAAATCAGAACCACAGATCTCTGTACGATGAGAGCAAAGCTGGTTCTGAATGCCATCCAGAGTAAAATAAATCTTTATATTTTAGATGATTTTTCCAGTAAATGGTAAATGGTCTGCACTAATATATCGCTTTCCCAACTTAGCGGCACTCAAAGCGCTTTACACTGTTTTCTCATTCACCCATTCACACACCAATGGCCCCAGAGCTGCCATGCAAGCTGCTGCCTGCCATCAGGAGCAACTCGGGATCGAACCGCCAGCCTTGTGATTGGAGGACAACCGGCTCTACCACCTCAACCACAGCCACCAGTGTTACATGAGAAAAGGTTCCAAACAGCAGAGAATCACTGATGCACTAACTTTTTATCTTTTGAAAGACATGATGGATATCACCACAGATACCAAAGATAGTCTTAAACTGTGTGTATTACCAACACTCACCTACTTTTCTCGTGTCTATTCCAAAGCTGTATGAACAACACAATCAGTGGAATATTGTGCAGCTACTGAGCTCTACATAAGTCTAACGTCCACTTCATAATGAGGACTTCCAACTAAGAAGCTGCTGTTTAAATAATATCATAAAGTGAGAACATGTGGATGGGAGGGAGAGCTGCTGGGTGCTTGGTTCCCCAATGAGAGACGTCCAACAGACGATATAAAAACCTCCCCCTGGGGATCAGTAACGTATTTCTGATTGTGAACAAGTGGACCAGGCCACAGACTGCATCATGCAAGTTTATACGCATGTTATATTTATAAATAAATATTAATATTAATACAGAACAAAATATCCCGATGTCAGTGTGTTTCCAGTGCCAGGCAGCTGTAGGCCTACAGTGTTTGTAGAAACAGATAAAATGCATCAGTGCTGGACCGGCAGCATGGGAACACTGCAGCACACTGTGAAACAGAGAGCGGTACCTGGTGCTGGTAGGCTTCAATAAGATGAATGTTCATTTATATGTAAAAGTTCTGCAGTCCAGCTTTAAAGAAGTTGTTCCACATTATTAAGGAGGTCTCTGTTCAAAGATTTTTCTGAAGATGAAAAACTTGAAATAGTGCAACGCCTTGCAAGAGGCATCGATATTTTGAAAAAACCTGAACCTCATTAAAATGTGAAGAGGTTTGTGTGTGATTCAAAGGACAGAGGAGTTTGGTGAAATAAAGGCTGATTAAAGTTTAAAACCAGACTCATTTATAGTATTATAAGTATGAAAAAGCTGCTACTCAGCGGCAAACAGATATGAAACTGATGGTGCTTCTGGATCCCTTTGGGCCCGGCAGCTGTGCATGAAGCTGCATTCAGTCTTACCCTGATCCAAACTCACAGAAGAGATGAACTCAGTGAACTCACAAATACATGAAGCCCATTCACCAGTGAGGGATGGGCTCTACTAGAAGGTACAGATGGATGAGATTCTGGATGGCTGGCAGAACACGACCCTGTTCCAGCGCTGCTTCATCAATACGGAGGAGGTGGAGTAACGGCCTGGGCTGAAATATTGGGACGTAAGATGCTACGGTAGCTTCAGGGCCTCTGCAGGTGTGAAAAAGAGCTGCACAACATCTGTAGAGTTTCTGCCTGATATGAAAATAAGAACTGGGCTGAAGTAAAACATGTCCACGCAGGACAATGCACAAGCTCAAGCTGCATAAAAACACAACTGACTACAATCTTTCTGGAAATATTATTTTAAAACAATGAGACGGTCAAAATGCAACCAGCAGTGACACCATAACCGTCACACGTCTCGGTCTGTGTTCAACTCTGACTCACACGTGTTCCTATAAACCGTGTGCTGGAGAACACAGACATGTTCTGTATCTGTGGTTTCGGAGCAGACAGTTCTGTAGCGTAGCGGTGACGCGTGAACGTGGCGGCAACAACATGCGACGCTGTACACGGCAGTTAGCGTTGCCATGACAACACCATCAATGATAGGGAAATACGCCTCAACAGTACCAGAAAGATGTGGAGCTACGCTGCAGCACATTCAACAAAACTAACTGAGAATTTATATCCAACGACTAGATGTCAGACGTTGAGAAGCAGCAGCAGCACGTGGATGATTCTGGATCTCACCTGATTTCTGGTGTTTTGGTTTGTTGGCAGCTCGTGTCACTGTTTTTCCAATAAAGAATTTAAAAATGCAAAAATGCTCCTGACTGTGAACACACAAGCCAAAGAGCAGGCTCTCCAACAGCAGCCTCACAGTGACAGATATTGGTGGTTCTTGTTGTTTGATCGCCCGTCGTGTGTTTATCCGTCTCTCAGGAGCACATCACCGTCACGGCAGCACAATTATCTCTGTCACTAACCAAACCTGCAGCAGGAAGAACTTCTCGAAGCAAGACGTCACACCAGGATCTGAAGCCAGGTTTAGGAGAGAGAGACAGATTTTGTCTCTCTTTGAAGTTACATGTAAAACAATATATTCTCCCCGCAGGCAGCGCCAAAGTGAACACATTCCAAGATAAACCCTGGCTAAGGACATCCGAGGCAGGATCAATACGTGGAGGCAAGCCTACAGCGGTTAATTAGTGGCCTGAAATTGCCAGAGAGGTCTGGATTCAAAAAGCTGGCAGCGTGATGAGTCACAGTGATTGATGGGTGGCGCTGGCCTCTGTCTGGTTTGGCTGAGCGCTGGGTGTCGGGGACGCAGTGAATACAGAGCTGCTAAATATCACCTGCAGTCGGTGGGGGGGTGTTTACAGATCCTCCTTCACTGTCTCTGACGCTCTCAGAAGCTCTTTGTAGTTTGGAATTCCACAGTTATGCTTCCAACCCTGCCTCTCATCAACCAGAGTGTTCAGCTCGTCTCCTCTTCCTGTTCCTATATGGAAAATCATCATTTTCCCTCTTTTTAAAGGCGAGTGGATAAGTAAGCACTTCAGGGCGCACTTGAACTAAGACGGTGAATGATAGTCGATATTACGGTTTCCTCTCATCTTAATTTATCCCCCACAATACAGTGGCGGTGGGAGAGGCTTGTTTACCCTCCTGAGCGGCGCTTTCCACACAAAACACCCGGTAATGGAAGTGTAACAGATAATTGCTCGGAGTCACAGCCACAACAGCAGCCCGCCGCCGTGTGCCGTCTTCGTGAGGGCGTTTTTAAATACCACGGGTCAAAAGACTTGTTCTGTGTAATTTACAGGTAAGGCCGTGACTTGGAATCAGTTAAATGCAATTTACAGCGGTTGACTGAAGAAGTAAGTAAAACTAAAAGTTCACCGCTGTTTGAGTTATGGTGCTCTTTGACACGACGCTCCCATTAATCCCACCAGTTCCCAGGCTTCGGATCACAACAGACCCAAATGAGGTGCTTAATTGTAACATAAGAAGTTTTAGCATTTCTGAGAGGCTGGATGCCTCATCCACGACGCTTTCACATGAAATGTGGTGAGTGCAGCAATTAAGTGGCTTTACTGCCCGGAGCTGACACCTCAGTTAGCTGCTAGGAGTTTTAGAGGGGAAGTCAAAAGTACCCTCCAAATCTTTTAGAGGCAAACTCCTTCATCAACAAGCTGATAATGGGCAGCAGCAGCAGCTAAATGAGTAATGGGGAGCCGGTGTTGCCATGCAAACAGACACAGACAGCGCAGCTCTGCAGATTAATGGGTAAGGTGTCTGCCGTCCCAAAGCATCCCACTCATCATCCATCACCCTTCCCCGGCCACAGCGCTCAGCCCAACGTATTTCTTTCACTTATAGTTCCCACATATTAGCGTGAAGACGTTACTCCTGCCATTGCATAAACATGTCCAATCGATGATAAGGCCGTAGAGATCTCATTTCCAGCACCTCGTTATGGGCTTTTCAGCCGGCTATCTTTTGTGTGGAGAGGCGCTTTGATGATGGATGGAATCACACAATAAGCCTACAATGATGTGAGAAAATGAACACCCAGCGCTCCACGACCACATTAAAACAAATGGACGGATGATGAACCCAATTATGACTTAATTATTCAATCATTTTAATTAATCAGCTATCACCGGAACCATCATTAGCCTCGTCACATCATGCCCACTTCAGCGCTGGTGCAGGTTGACGTGGAAGTCTTGCTCCAAGTCATTTTATCCGCCCCTGACTGCTGCATCACTCGGATGGTGCTCATCACTACAACATAAGCTCCTACACCAGGTTTGCATCGCATGCAGAAAGC